CGTAGTGGCAAAAAAACCTGGGCTACACAAGTCTGGAAGCCCCAGATCCAAATCTCCACTTTACGGTGCTCTCACTAGATGGTCTTAAGTGAGCCGACTTCGGCCTCAGTCTGCCTCCCCTCCATCTGCAAAATGGGGGGAATAATAGCAAGCTGCCCTGCAGGGCTGCTAAGAAGCTCCAATGAGGAGGGTGTACACCAAACACTTTGAACGTTCTCTGAAGCAGGGATGGGGAACATCTGGCCCCTTAGACAAAGCTTGACTCCAACTCCCATCGGCCTCTGCCAGAATGGGCAATTGTTAGGGATGAAGGGAGCCGCAGTCCAAGAAAACCTAGAGGACCAACACAGAAGAAAACTGCTCTAGGTGTTGTTTGAGTCTAACCCCCCCATTGGGAAAAGAGTACGACAAGGCTGTACAGTGGTACCTCGGGTTACATACGCTTCAGGTTACATACGCTTCAGGTTACAGACTCCGCTAACCCAGAAATATTACCTCGGGTTAAGAACTTTGCTTCAGGATGAGAACAGAAATCGTGCAGCGGTGGCGCAGCGGCAGCAGGAGGCCCCATTAGCTAAAGTGGTGCTTCAGGTTAAGAACAGTTTCAGGTTAAGAATGGACCTCCGGAACAAATTAAGTTCTTAACCCGAGGTACCACTGTATATTGTCTCCCTGCTTATTTAACTTATATGCAGAATTCATCATGCGAAAGGCTGGGCTGGATGAATCCCAAGCCGGAATTAAGATTGCCGGAAGAAATATCAACAACCCCAGATATGCAGATGACACAACCTTGATGGCAGAAAGTGAGGAGGAATTAAAGAATGTTTTAATGATGGTGAATGAGGAGAGCGCAAAATATGGTCTGAAGCTCAACATCAAAAAAACAAAGATCATGGCCACTGGTCCCATCACCTCCTGACAAATAGAAAGGGATGAAATGGAGGCAGTGAGAGATTTTACTTTCTTGGGCTCCATGATCACTGCAGATGGTGACAGCAGTCATGAAATTAAAAGACGCCTGCTTCTTGGGAGAAAAGCAATGACAAACCTAGACAGCATCTTAAAAAGCAGAGACATCACCTTGCCGACAAAGGTCCATATAGTTAAAGCTATGGTTTTCCCAGTAGTGATGTATGGAAGTGAAAGCTGGACCACAACGAAGGCTGATCGCCGAAGAATTGATGCTTTTGAATTATGGTGCTGGAGAAGACTCTTGAGAGTCCCATGGACTGCAAGAAGATCAAACCTCTCCATTCTGAAGGAAATCAGCCCTGAGTGCTCACTGGAAGGACAGATCCTGAAGCTGAGGCTCCAATACTTTGGCTACCTCATGAGAAGAGAAGACTCCCTGGAAAAGACCCTGGTGTTGGGAAAGATGGAGGGCACAAGGAGAAGGGGACGACAGAGGTCGAGATGGTTGGACAGTGTTCTCGAAGCTACCAGCATGAGTTTGACCAAACTGCGGGAGGCCGTGGAAGACAGGAGTGCCTGGCGTGCTCTGGTCCATGGGGTCACGAAGAGTCGGACACGACTAAACGACTAAACAACAACAACCCACCATCAGCCCCAGGTGGTGCAGCCAATGTCTAGATGATGATGAGCGTTGTAGCTTCAACAACATCTGCAGTTCACACCAACACTCCATACCAGAAGGGTACTTTGTTGGAGATCTGGCCCTGGCAGAGGTTGCAGGGGAACGGTGCCAAGCGCCAGGCAAGCCAGCCGAACAAGGTCAGTTGGCTGTGTCTGTTGTGACAGGTTGCAAGTGGTAACAGGCCCATTCTGGACCAGAGATCTCTTTGCCGGGCTTCCAGAAAAGAGTTCTAGAGTTCTAGAAGGAGCAGATAGCCAAAGTTTGTAAGCCTTAAGACAGGCTTCCTCAAATTCGGCCCTCCAGATGTTTTAAGACTACAATTCCCATCATCCCTGACCATTGGTCCTGCTAGCTAGGGCTCATGGGAGTTGTAGTCTTAAAACATCTGGAGGGCTGAATTTGAGGAAGCCTTGAAAATAAGGGACCAGCAGCCTCGAAAATAAGGGTTCAGCAGCCAAAATAAGGGATCAACAATTACTTTGATAAAATAAATATTTTGTTGCATGCAAATGGCTTTAGATACCTATTAGGTCCATAAATTACCATATAGCATATATTCAACACAAAAAAACAGCAACAATTTGTTGCTGACAAAGCACAGCTGGACATAGAAAGGGCCCCATTACCTTCAGTTGCTTATTTAAGGGACATCATCAATAAGGGACAGCAGCGGGACATGGCGCTGGGATAAGGGACTGTCCCGCCAAATAAGGGACGCTTGACAGCTATGCTTAAGAGATGGACGTTGGGAAGGCCTGGATGATGCCATAGGGGCACAGGAAACTTGGCTAGTTTGCCTATTCTGCTTTCCAGAGATGGGAACGCTTCTGCGAGCGATTCCTGGGCCTTAATACGAGTGGAAAGTTTACATACTACAAATGGATCGCAGTCCTGGTTTCCCAACACACCCTAGAGTTGCAGTCCTGCAGTCCTGGGGTTTTTGCCCCTCCACTTCATAGGCACAGGCAGTTGGGTATGTGTCAATTGTGGCTTCTCTTGGTTTCTCATTTTTTCTAGACTTAAACTCAGTTCAGTTCTCCACACGTCTGCATCAGTTCACAATTCTTCTTTTTTTTAAGTCCTCATGAAAATTCATCAGCATTTTAGTGCAAATTTCTTCTAATGTGCAATTCCCCCCCTTGCAATTTATCCTAATATACATTTTTTTTGCACAGCAATTTCCCCTGATGTAATGCAACTTGGTACGTTTATTTTTAAATGCACATGTGTTCATGCATATTTTATATTATTTAAGAAAATGCATATATTCCTTAATTGTGGCAAAACTTCTAAGTCATGGGTAGGCAAACTAAGGCCCGGGGGCCGGATCCAGCTCGCAGACAGTCCGGGAATCAGTATGTTTTTACATGAGTAGAACGTGTCCTTTTATTTAAAATGTATCTCTGGGTTATTTGTGGGGCATAGGAATTCGTTCATTCCCCCCCCCCCCCAAAAAAAAATATAGTCCAGCTCTCCACAAGGTCTGAGGGACAGTGGACCAGCCCCCTGCTGAAAAAGTTTGCTGACCCCTGTTCTAAGTGTTTTACAAGCAATTACCCTAGTAAATGTGTATTTTTGTGGACATTACATGGCTAGAGAGATGCACTGCAAATTTCGAAGCAGTGTCTGGGCTTTGGTTTCCGTGATGCTTCAGAAAGTATGGATTTGGAAGGTTCACCTTTCAGCATGAACGGGACTGAATTTCCCCCACATCCCTAGCAAGCGTACACATTCCTTGTGGCCTGAAACCAAGCAGCAAAGCCCATTGGTTGGAGGGCCCCCCTATTAATAGATTTTTCAGAAATAAATAAATACAAAAATAAATTACAGCGTCATCTCTCTCCTCCCTTCCTTTCTTTTGTGGGTGGAAAAAAAATGTATTCCCTACCCTGGATAAAGCAGGCCTTGGAAAAATCAGCCACACGTTGCTTTCTATCAAATAAGGAGAATTCCTAGATGGGCGAGTGGGGTGATGTCTTTTCCTGAAAACTCTCTATCTTTTACTCATACTTTGCCCAGAGTGCAGTTGGCAGTTTCCATGCTCCCATCCTACACTTCATCAGGGTTTTGAAGAACTTGAAAACTGCCACTATTTTGTGACATTCTGGTTACTGATACAGCTTTTAAAAAGGGGGGGGGGGACCTATAAGGAGGGTGGCAACACCAGAACAGGGCCTTCTCTGTTGTGGCTCCCTGCCTGTGGAATGCTGTCCCCAAGGACGTTCGCCTGGTGCCTTCGTTATACACCTTTAGGCGCCCGGCAAAAATGTTCCTTTTTAACCAGGCCTTTGGTTGATGTGTATTTTTCACTCTATAGGATGCACCGGACGATAAGACGCCCCTAGTTTTGGGGGGAGGAAACAAGAAGAAAAAAATTCTGAACCCCAGAAGCCAGAACAGCAAGAGGGATCTGGCTTCTGGGATAGCCTCTCGCTGTTCTGGCTTTGGGGACAGCCTTTGAAGCATCCGCAGGGCAGCGGGGTGAAGGCACCCCGCTGCCCTGCAGAGGCTTTGCGCAGTTAACCCAAGCTAGAACAGCGAGACGGAACACTGCACAGCGCTCCGTCTCCCTGTTCTGGCTTTGGGCTTAGCCGCGCAGCCTGCATTCGCTCCATAGGATGCACACACATTTTGCCTTACTTTTTAGAAGGGAAAAAGTACGTCCTATAGAGCGAAAAATACGGTACATCCTACGCCCTATTGAAATGTGTTTTGGGGGGGTGATTGGGTTGTTGTTTTTATTTCAATTATTTATTTTGTGGTTTTATACATTGGTACCTCGGAAGTCGAACAGAATCCGTTCTGGAAGTCCGTTCGAATTGCAAAACGTTCGGAAACCAAGGCGCAGCTTCCGATTGGCTGCAGGAAGCTCCTGCAGCCAATCGGAAGTCGCGGAAGTCGCGTTGGGACATTTGGGTTCCAAAGAACGTTCGCAAACCGAAACACTCACTTCCATAGCTGTCAACGTTTCCCTTTTTTTAAGGGAAATTCCCTTATTCCGAATAGGATTCCTCGCAAGAAAAGGGAAACGTTGACAGCTATGCTTCCAGGTTTGCACCATTCAGGAGCCAAAACGTTTGACTCGCAAGGCGTTCGGGATCCAAGGTATGACTGTATCTTGATTTTATTCTGTGATCTGCCCTGAGACCCCCGGCTTTAGGGCAGTATAGAAATAATAATAATAATAATAATACGCACAAACTCGTATTCAGGTGGTTCCCTCCCCATCTCTCTGCTCACGAGTCACATAGCCTCCTTGATCCTGGCTGCAAAATGCAAAAGGGGCAACAGAGGACTCCGCTTTGTGCTGAGTCAGATCATTGGTCCATTTAGCTGAGTATTGTCTTCACTGACTGCCAGCAGCTCTCCAGGGTTCCAGGCAGGAGTCTCTCTCAGTCTTACCTGGAGACGCCGGGGATTGAACCTGAGACCTCCTAGATGTAAGGCAGAGCCTCTACCTCTGAGCTACAGCCCTCCCCATGCAAATCGTATGTCCTGGAAGTGTCCTACAGAATTCTGAAGTTTTATGCAATGAGCGCCGTTTGCTTCGCTGAGCAAGAGAGCTTTGAGCCGCCACCCCCGCCCGCAAGACTCAACGCCGTTTCTGCTGACCAGAACAACTCTGTTTAGGAACAACGTGTTGCTGGAAATCGCCAGAGCACTTGTTTAAAGCAGCCCCAGAAGAGCCCCAGAAGAGAGGGGGAAATAATGACTGCATCCTTCTTCTCCGGAATGAAACAATAACAACAACAGTGACCTCCTCTGGACGAGGGCCAAAGAAAACTCACCAGCTGCCTCTCACATAACAGAACTTGGCTGGCGAGGAGAGAAATGCGAGAGAGCCAGATGCAAAAGAAGGGGGGGGAGAGAAAAGATTTGCAGGATTTCGACCTCCCCTGCACTCAAGTGTCACTCGCTAGGAAAACAACTATTTGAGAAAAAGGGGCCCAAAGATCAACTTCATTTGAAACGGGTGGATTCTGTACCCTTCGCAGGGTAAATGTGAGGATGGGAATATGTGTTTTTGTATATAGAGACATCCAATTTTATGTAAGGGATGCGGGTGGCGCCGTGGGTTAAACCACAGAGCCTAGGGTTTGCCGATCAGAAGGTCGGCGGTTCGAATCCCCGCAACGGGGTGAGCTCCCATTGCTCGGTCCCTGCTCCTGCCAACCTAGCTGTTCAAAAGCACGTCAAAGTGCAAGTAGATAAATAGGTACCACTCTAGCGGGAAGGCAAACAGTGTTTCCGTGCGCTCTGGTTTCCGTCACGGTGTTCCATTGCGCCAGAAGCAGTTTAGTCATACTGGCCACATGACCCGGAAAGCTGTCTGTGGACAAACGCCGGCTCCCTCGGCTTGAAATAGATAAATAGGTACTGCTCCGGCGGGAAGGTAAACGGCGTTTCCGTGCGCTGCTCTGGTTTGCCAGAAGTGGCTTAGTCATGCTGGCCACATGACCCAGAAACTGTACGCCGGCTCCCTCGGCCAATAAAGCGAGATGAGCGCCACAACCCCAGAGTCGTCCGCGACCAGACCTAATGGTCAGGGTTCCCTTTACTTTTAACTTTAACTTTAACTTTATGTGGATGGACTTAAGACGTAAGAAGTCACACCCATTGATCTGGCCACCTTGGCCTTTGACCCGACCAGGGCTGGCCCACCAAAGCAGCTGCCTCGGGCGGCGGAATACCATGGGGCAATGCGCAGCTCCCCCAGCGGGGTCATATGGCAGCTATACTGCAAGCGCTCCCTGAGATCTTGCTGGAAGCCACCGCCATTGCTCACCCCATTAAGCAAGACATTGACGGCGGAGGCGGGGAGAGAATGCAACCGTGCCATCGCATTTTGTCTCAGGCTGTGAAATGGGTCAGGACGGCTCTGGGCCCCATTCGCCACTGCCCCGTGGCCCCTGAAAAGTTCCCCATCAAGACAACCAGTGTGGCGTCAAAGTTAATAAAAATAAATAAATAAATAAATGTGTCCCCCTGGTCCAAAAGCCCCCCCCCCCCCCGTTTTAGTAAAGGTATTCTTTATTAGGCATAGCAAACCACACATTATCAAACAGACACTGTATACAAATTGTGCAAAATACGAGCTGAACATAACAAGGTTTGTCCCGGTCAGATCTTTAACTCCATAGAAAATCAATTTGCATAAATAATACAATACAGCACTACCGAATCAATTAAGAACCACTGATTCTCTTTATAATGACCCAGTCTTTCTACATGGGCAGCACTCAAAAATTCAGCCACTGTTAAAGTAATTTGATCATTCCTGTCCGAAAGCAGGTCCTGAACCGTTGGTGGCAAAGAAATCAGCCTATTGAGTTGTAAGGCCTCTAATAATTGTCTTCTGGCATAAATGCCAAAATCACAAGAAAAGAAAATATGCTCCAAAGTCCCCCCCCGTTTTATCTGTTGTGTAGCTGCAACTGAACCGGGATCTTCTGAGTTCTCACCCCTGTGCTGTTTTCCCTCCCTTTGCATCAAACTCATCCATCAGGAAGGAGCAAAGTACAAGATCCCTCTCCCCCTGGTACAGGGTCACTTTCTTAGCCAGAAACTCCTGGCCAGCTGCCTCTTTCCTTCCTGCTGGTGGCATCCTGGAAGCAAAATCAGGGTTTGTGGCAAGCTTGTGGAGGGCCTTGCCATGAGAAATGTGCCCAGACAGGTCACCCCAGGCCAGGACATCTTGCTAACATGTGACGAAATCCCATCGCCGGGCAAGGACAGCTACTTCTTGGAGAAGCTGTGGAAGACTCGGGCGTTGGCCAGGACTTCTCGGAAGTGTGCCAATGGTAGGGTCAGTGGGAGCTAGCTTTCCACCACTCAACGGGCTGGCGTGGGATGTCAGGGCAAGTGCCGTGAGCCCATTGCCTCAGGAGGAAACTGGGGGAGAAGCTAAGCTGGCCTCCTAACTCACTTTAATAGGAGGTAGGGACACACAGAGACATAAACACCCAACAAACAAACAGACGCAGAAAAGGACCAGTGTCCTTGCATCTTTTGTGGCTGGAGAAAAGGGAAATTCAGATAATACTCCTCGACTTGTTTCTTTGTTTACCCTAATTCCTCACCTGTTAAAGATTAATTAGTCAGAAATTGGTTTTTAATCGGCGAAGAACTTAGATGCGCCCTAACTCCTGCAGGGCCCTTGCCAAAGGAAAGCTTACAAGAACACTGTTCTCTTGCTATGTGTGGCTTAGACTCGTTCATCTGGCCCAAGAGGCTGGTGTTAAGCACATCATGCAAGCAAGTCAATTCATTGCAGGGAGGCCTGTTTTCGGCAGAACGCTACATCACAACGCAGCATCATTTCTGGAGCATTCTTTGGGGTGGAGGGAATGGCTGCCCCCACGATCCTGCTCCCCCCCCAAAAAAACCCCAAACCCTAGAGCAAAGGTCAATGGAGCAACAAAGGCAAATTTACCTTCATACTCTACCTAACTTCCAACACCTCCTCATGCTCCTCTTTATATTATCCATCCTGGCAGGCAGGAGGCGTTACCTGATTTCAAGGACACATTCCACCCATGTCAACAGTGATGCAGCAGCAAAAAAAGCTAATGCTATTCTAGGCTGCATCTAGGCTATTCTAGGCTGCATCAACCACAGTCTAGTTTCCTGATCAAGGGAAGCCATTAGCACTGTTCTGTCCTGTCTTGGTCAGACCACAGCAGGGATACTGTGTCCAGTTCTGGTGATCAAGGGTCTAGAAGCCAAGCCTTATGAGGAACGGTTGAAGGAGCTGGAGATGTTAAGATTGGAAAACAGGAGAATGGGAGGATAGCCATCTTCAAATATCGAAAGGGCTTTCAGACAGAGGATGGAGCAAGCTTGGTTGTTGTTTTTTTCCTGTTCTGGAGGGTAGGACCCAAACCAATGGCTTCAAGTTACAAGACAGGAGATTCTGACTAAACATAGAACTGCATAGTTGGAAGGGACCCTAAGGGTCATCTAGCCCAACCCCAGGCAATACAGTATATGCAGGTGGCCCGTATGGGGATCGAACCTGTGACTTTGGTGTTACCAGCACCACACACTGACCAACTGAGCTAGCCACAGGCATAATTTCTGACAGTAAGAGCTGTTTGACAGTGGAACAGACTCCCCAGGGAAGTCGTGGACTCTCCTTCCTTGGAGGTTATTGAGCAGACGTTGAATGGGCACCTAACACGTATGATCTAGCTGAGATTCCTGCATTGCAGGGGGTTAGACTAGATGACCCTTGGTGTCCCTTCCAAATCTACAAGTCTATGACTTCTGGGAATAGCAGTAAAAGGAAGGCAGCCCATTAGAACGTGAGAAGCGTCCTGTTTGATCAGGGCAAAGGGTCCAGCATCCTACTTTCCAAAGCGGTCAGCCAGTTGCTTACAGGGAAAGGGCTTCTTCCCAAGCAATTCTGCGTCTAAATTTGGAGGTGATGTATAGCCCTCAAGACGAATAGTCCTTGATAGTTCCATCTAACCTAAAGAAAGGGGGGAAGGAGCAAGACTGATGGCTACATTAGCAGTGGAATCACTGGTATGTACGCCTGTCTTTTAGAAAATGAGGGCAGGAAGAAGATGGCCTCATCCCAAGGGAGGAAAAAACCATGGCAACCACTGTTTTGATGTATGTTTATGTTCAATGCGTGTAATATATATATGTGTGTGTGTGCACGCGCACTCAAGGATCTAGCAAATTTCTGCTCAGCTTTCATTACAGCTTTGGAAGGAGGTGTGGAAAGAGCCAAGCTGGCTGGTTTAGATTAAGAGAACTGTTGGAAAAAACTGGGGAGAGAGAGAAAAAAATAATAATAACAAAGCGTCTCTGAATGAGGTGAATCATGATCTCATGCAGCATTCCCTGAAGAAATAGCTGCTGTTTATAATAAAACACAGAGTACGCAGTTAAAAGTTGCAGCGGGCTGTTCAGAAACTTGCAGAGAGGAACCGAATGTTTTCTGTGGGCAGATGAGTACAGATATAAGGACGAATGGAGGGCATTCTGGGCAGAGGGTGTGGTGCATTATGGGTAGCAGAAGGGCAATCTGGCCAAGGCATGAGGGGCATTATGGGTAGCAGAAGGGCAATCTGACCAAGGCATGAGGGGCATTATGGGTAGCAGAAGGGCAATCAGGCCAAGGCATGAGGGGCATTATGGGTAGCAGAAGGGCAATCTGGCCGGGGCATGAGGGGCATTATGGGTAGCAGAAGGGCAATTTGGCCAAGGCATGAGCGGCATTATGGGTAGCAGAAGGGCAATCTGACCAAGGCATGAGGGGCATTATGGGTAGCAGAAGGGCAATCTGACCAAGGCATGAGGGGCATTATGGGTAGCAGAAGGGCAATCAGGCCAAGGCATGAGGGGCATTATGGGTAGCAGAAGGGCAATCTGGCCGGGGCATGAGGGGCATTATGGGTAGCAGAAGGGCAATTTGGCCAAGGCATGAGCGGCATTATGGGTAGCAGAAGGGCAATCTGACCAAGGCATGAGGGGCATTATGGGTAGCAGAAGGGCAATTTGGCCAAGGCATGAGCGGCATTATGGGTAGCAGAAGGGCAATCTGACCAAGGCATGAGGGGCATTATGGGTAGCAGAAGGGCAATCTGACCAAGGCATGAGGGGCATTATGGGTAGCAGAAGGGCAATCAGGCCAAGGCATGAGGGGCATTATGGGTAGCAGAAGGGCAATCTGGCCGGGGCATGAGGGGCATTATGGCTAGCAGAAGGGCAATCTGACCAAGGCATGAGGGGCATTATGGGTAGCAGAAGGGCAATCTGGCCAAGGCATGAGGGGCATTATGGGTAGCAGAAAGCCTGAGATGGGCAAAACCATCTGTTCCATCCCCTGCCACAGTGTTGAAATGGACTACAACCCCTTTTTCAGGAATATTAGAGGCTGTCCGCAATGCAGACAGAATGTTGGGTAACACACACAGGACCAAACTATGTTATATGGAAGCACATTTGCTGGTAGTCCTTTTTCCAAATGCCACTTTGCGAGGGAGCTATCGGAAGCTGATAAGTGTGTGTGGGTGCCTTACCTTTTTTCATTGCTTTACATTTCTATGCTCTAAATGAATTCCACCCCTGCCCAGGTGGCTTTTCTGCCTGTTATGTACTGAGTTGAATAGGATCCAGAATGCAGCAGTCTGATTGGTCCGCAGGAGCCACCCAATCCAACTCCAGGTGGAAGTGAATCCGCAACCTGATTGGCCTACAGGAGAATCCCGGAACTAGCCAATCATGTGGGGCCCATTGTGTAAATAATGTATATAAAGCAGACATTTCGGGGAAACTTCCATTCCTCACTACTATGAGCTGAATAAAGAGCATGAAATCCACACTAGACTCCGAGTATATTTCACTGCCCCGTGGGATGGTCGATGCACAATCAAAATCCCACAGAGGAAAAATAAAATGGCAGGGGAGGAGAGCTATCTCGATTGGAGAACGGCAAGGTGAAGACATGGCTAAGCAGCAATCCTCCTCCTTGCCATTTTTATACACACATACATGCGCACACAGCACAGTTGTCAGAAGGTGGGGCGTCTTATTTCCACGCTCACCTGTTGACACCTGCTGCAACCATCGGCTGCTAAAAAGCACAAGGCAGTTCCACAGCGAACCTTTGCTTCAGGTCTCCCACAAATCAATGGTTGGTGCAAGGAGGGTTTGGACAGAGAGTTTGGAAAGAGGGGAGGCCAGATATCTGAGAAAATACCCGGTGTGTGTGTGTGTGTGGTACATGTGAAAAACGAAAACAAGGAAGGTGCAGCTTTTGCAAAAGAAACACACAACTCGTTGAACAAATCCCAACTTTCAAGCTGTTCTTCAGATCATTCCAGGGTGGTCTCCTGCCTTCAACCGTCACCTTTCATAAAACGTTAACCCACTAGCCAAATCAACAAAGTCTCACTGGGTCATCGGACATCACTGCAGCTGTTTGGGAGCCCACGGGTTTGCTGAACATCTTGGATCCTTTTCAGCAGCCGTCAAATCTAGTGACACCCTGGAGCAGCAGTTCTCAACCTGTGGGTCCCCAGATGTTGTTGGACTACAACTCCCATCATCCCTGAGCTCTGGCCTTGCTAGCTAGGGGTGATGGGAGTTGTAGTTCAACAACATCTGGGGACCCACAGGTTGAGAAAGGCTGCTCTGGAGGATGTGCGTGGACACGGACAGATGCATTTTGAGCTTCTGTCAAGCAGCTGTGCATCACTGTGGTGCGTGGAAGACTGACAGTAGGTGGAGCCAGACCCAACGACAAGCAGAGACAACTGACTCTGGTCTTTCTAGGAAACCAGAGTTAGTTGTCTCCGCTTGCCGTTGGGTCTGGCTCCACCTACTGTCAGTGCCAGTGATGGAAAGAAGATAAAGTCCCTACCAGAGAAGAATGGCAAATCAAGTTGATGGAATATGCCAAAATTGCTAAAATGAGAATCAGAAATCAGGAAGACCAAAATTTTAACAAGGAATGTGGAAAAATGAAAACTTATCTTAAAGACCATTGTAAACAGTTAGTAGGACTGGAATATCACTCGTAGTTTAATGGCGGATTTTGGATACAATGGATTTGGATTACAGTCATCCCTCATGTTACGTCCGCTTCATGTTACGTTCTTTCAGGTTACGTCTTGCAGTGACCCGGAAGTACCAGAAAGGGTTACTTACAGGTTTTGCCGCTCGCGCATGCGCAGATGCGCAAAATGATGTCACTCGCATGCGCAGAAGCGGCAAATCGCAACCCGCACATGCGCAGATGCGACGCTGCGGGTTGCGTTCCTTTCATGTTGCGAATGGGCCTCCAGAACGGATCCCATTTGCAACCAGAGGTACCACTGTATTATAAAAGATGCGGGAGGAAACAATTAATAACAGGACCCACAAAGGGGAGGAGGGAAGTCCAGGAGATTCCTTGGAATCTCGTTTTTCTGTTGTATGCTGGACAAGTAACTGTGAAATTTTAATCTGAAAAACCAAATATATATATATATATATTATAAAGAAAACAACTAACTCTGGTCTCACCACCGGGATCTTCCTCCATGTTGAACTTTACCAAGACTAAAATGAAGGAGGGAGCCTACAGGCAGTTCATTAGTTTCAATGGGTCTACTCTAGAGTAAAACATCATTGAATACCGCCAGTTGCAAGCAGAAAGGCAGGCAGGCAGGCGATGGCTAGCTGAGGGTCAGATGAAGGATGGTGGGGAAGTACCCCATTCATCCTAATGGACCAGAATCCGGTGTTTGAGAAAGCACAACGTTTGAGCCCTGTAGGAAGGTGTTCCCTGCAACTCAACTCACCTGTTTGTTGGAATAGACGTGGTTTTTGTTCCGGTTGGTATCCAAGAGGCCTCCGCATTTGCCCAAGGCTGCGAGATCTTTCATAATAGAGTTGAGTGCCTCCTCTTCGTCTGCAGAAGAAAGGAAATAGATTTAGTCTTGTGAAACCTGAGGCTCTCTCCTTCTGGACCTCTCAAAGGCCCATACCACAGCACTTAAAAATAATAATAATAATAATAATAATAATAATAATAAGCGGATTTTTCTCAATATCAGCAATTGGGTTAGAAGACCAGGGCAGAGGCTAATTCAAGAATGAGTGATCCGAGATTCCCACATGTGTAAAATAAGCTACGGCAAGAATCTTTTATTATTAGCAGAGCAGAAAGGAAGTCTACAACGAGAATCAAGTATGCGCAGAGAGATAAGTGAGTTTAAATGAGAACACTTCACACAATTTATATAGTTGCAAATTTGTTTGTATTTCCAGACAGTAACTCTTGAGTACATTTTTTTAAAAAAATCAGTCATAAGTGCCAGTGTGGCAGACTGCGAAATCTATACATGTAGAAAAGGCTAAAAAAAAAAATTGGGTACAAATATGTGCATTGATACTGCAGATTTTAAAGGTTAATATCCAGTTGAAGCCAGAACTTTTTTTCTGTTAGGGTTAATGGATACACAACTGGAAAAGGACTGTGGAAGATTATTCCAGTATATGATTACAGCGGCGAGTTTTACACGCAAAAAGATGGAAAGATACAGTCCTCCCCTACTATGGAGGAATGGTTGATACAATTATTGGACTATTCTGAGATGGCAAAATTAACGGGTTTAATTAGAGAAAAAATATTATTGACATTTATTAAAGACTAGAAACTTCTTATGGACTTTTTGTGCGTAAGAGAAAATGAACTCGTAACATTTGGATTTGAAGATTGAAAAAACATTGGCTTATAGAAAACAGAATAGTTGGATGTTATTGAGTGAATACTATATTTAGCTGATATATATATTTTCCATTTTCTTTTTCTCTCCCTACTCCCCCCCCCACCTCCCACTCCGCTTTTATTTTCTTTTTGCCCCTGTTCCTTTTTAGATTATAATTTTTATTCTGGCATATTATAAAAAAGATACTTTGAATTGGGTATGAACTTTTGTATATCTTTTGATAAGTATCAATAAAAACAGTGGTTGCTTTTTTCTTTTTTTTTTAAAGGAAATCTATACCTGTAGGTTTCTCAGAAAATTCTGACAGGGTGCTTGGTGGAAGAAATAGGAAAATGCTCCCTCCCTGATGTTTTTGTTTGAGAAGAGGAGCTCCTAGTAGCATGGAGTGGAAGGAGTATTACCGTGGTTGAGCCTGGAATCCCCTTCCATAAGTTACCAGAATGGGGCAGTGTGGTCCTGTAATTGTCAGTGGTAAGGAGCTGTCATTACGTTTCCCTGGGGTTCCCCACCCAAGAGAAAGAAGATCACCACCAATCTGAAAAAGCTGCAGAAGATGCTGCAAATCTAAATGTTTCCTTTATGCATGGAAACACTGAACCAGTTCACAGGTCGCAAGTAACCAGGCCTGGATGCCAGCAAAGGCTTTTGGCCGAGGGTCCCCATGTCTTAGAAGGTTGCCTGGTGATTCTGGCTTTGCTGTGCCACCTTAATGCCCTCTTTGCAGGGCTCCCAGGTGACATTTTAGCCACGGATGGGCAGCAGGGCCACTTCTCAACAGGAGCTAAACTTGGCTCCTGTCCGCGGTGGTCGTGCACCATTTTAAATTGCCTCAAATGCGATGCCCCAGCAGCCGGTAAGTCTTCACAAATCTCTGGACTGGTGCGTTGCATTTTGGGCAGATTAAGATGGCGGGCAGGCACTGAGGATGAATCCCCTTTCAAAGGTGGAGGAGCACCTCACCTCTGCTAAAATGCGGCAAGGAGGACAATGGAAGGTGTGACTAATAATAATAGTAAGTGTTAAGTTGTGGGTGAACATCTCAGACGACACAGCGATTCTTCAAACAGCTCTTGTTTATTCACAGGCCAGAACAGAACTGAACTGAAGGGTTCAGCCAGCCTGCTTATATAGAGCTCCACTACAACGCAACTGTAACACTTCCTGTAACTATCCAATCACTGAACGTCACTTTCAATCCCTTATTTGCATATGTGGACCTGAGTGGAAACTATCTACAGTATCCCCCTGCTGGCCCAGGGTGAGAACTTCAGTACATAATAATAATAATACAGTGGTGCCCCGCAAGACGAATGCCTTGCAAGACGAAAAACTCGCTAGACGAAAGGGTTTTGCGTTTTTTGAGCTGCTTCGCAAGACGAATTTCCCTATGGGCTTGCTTCGCAAGATGAAAACGTCTTGCAAGTTTGTTTCCTTTTTCTTAACACCGTTAATACAGTTGCGACTTGACTTCGAGGAGCAACTCATAGAACGCGGTGTGGTAGCCTTTTTTGAGGTTTTTGAAGACTTTGGTGATTTTTGAAGCTTTTCCAAAACTTATTTTGCAGCCATTTGGTAAGTTAAACTTTTAAAACTTTTTGGGGGGTTTTTGGATTTTGGGTTGGGGTGTTTGGAATTCAAGGACTTGGTGTTGGGGAGGGGTTTGCAAGAATCTGGAAGCTTGTTTTTTTCCCCCTGCATTTTTATGATTTTCTGTGACCATTGGGCCACACTGCTGTTTTTTAAAAAAAATTCTGGATTTGAATTTCTGTGTGGTGGGTGGCTGGGGGAACAGTTGAGGAGGGGTTTGCAAGAATCTGGAAGCTTGTGTGGTTTTTTTCTGCATTTTTATGATTTTCTGTGACCATTGGGCCACTCTGTTGTTTTTAAAAAAATTTCTGGATTTGAATTTCTGTGTGGTGGGTGGCTGGGGGAATAGTTGAGGAGGGGTTTGCAAGAATCTGGAAGCTTGTGTGGTTTTTTATGCATTTTTCTGATTTTCTGTGACCATTGGGCCACTCTGCTGTTTTTAAAAAATAATTCTGGATTTGAATTTCTGTGTGGTGGGTGGCTGGGGGAACAGTTGAGGAGGGGGTTCTTCAGCAAGAAGCAAAGAGTGGAAGAGGAACTTTCTTCGAGTTGTCCCCCAGAGTCTTAGAAAATGTACTGTACGCTTTGTTGATTTTTAAATGTTTTTCTGTCATGTTTAGAAACTTACTTTATTGTTCCTTCAATTTTTGAAACGCTCTTTACAGTATGTGTGACTTTAAAGAGCACTTAATAAACTCTTGTTGTACCAAATTTGGCTTTGTTTGGACTTTTTTTGACCATAGGAACGCATTAATTGATTTTCAATGCATTCCTATGGGATTTCGTGCTTCGCAAGACGAAAAATTTGCTAGGCGAAAAAATTCACGGAACGAATTAATTTCGTCTTGCAAGGCACCACTGTACATTTTATTTATACCCTGCCCTCCCTGGCCAGAGGCAGGCTCAGGGCAGCTAACACCAGCAAAATTACAGTAAAAAACATAATGGGGGGGACCAATTTAAAATACAGGTTTAAATGCAATTTAAAATGCAGCCTCATTTTAAAAGTAGCCCATAGATCAAAACCATAAGGGGAGGGAAACATAAGGGTCAGACTGAGTCCAAACCAAAGGCCTGGCGGAACAGCTCTGTCTTGCAGGCCCTGCGGAAAGATGTCAAGTCCCGCAGGGCCCTGGTCTCTTGTGACAGAGCGTTCCACCAAGTCGGGGCCAGTACTGAAAAGGCCCTGGCCCTAGTTGAGACCAATCTAACCACCTTGCGACTTGGGACCTCCAAAGTGTTGTCATTTGTGGACCTTAAGTTCCTCCGCGGGGCATACCAGGAGAGGCGGTCCCATAGGTACGTGGGTCCTAGGCCGCATGTGGTGGTCGTGGCAGCAGGGGGGAAAGTACAGATGCATTGGTGCATGTTGGGGTTTGGGGGGGCAGTACTGTGCTGCAGGACCCCTGAAATCCCTGAGAGCCAGTGTGGTGTAGTGGTTAAGAGCAGTAGACTCGTAATCTGGTGAACCGGGTTCAATTCCCTGCTCCTCCACATGCAGCTGCTGGGTGACCTTG